CGGTTTTTCTGGAGCATAAAACTCGCCTTCAGGTCGCAGATTGTCAGCGTGTCTTACTTGCGCTGGGCGTTCGCCAGGTTGGAATTCGGGTTTCTCCGGAGAATAAAATTCACCTTCTGGCTTCAGGTTATCCTCCGGTTTTTTCTGATAGGGACGTTCGGCTGGTTTATATCCCGGTTTTTCTGGAGCATAAAACTCGCCTTCAGGTCGCAGATTGTCAACGTGTCTTACTTGCGATGGGCGTTCGCCAGGTTGGAATTTGGGTTTCTCCGGAGTATAAAATTCACCTTCAGGCCTCAAGTTATCCTCCGGTTTTTTCTGTGTTGGACGCTCCGCCGGTTTATAACATGGTTTATCAGGAATATAAAACTCGCCTTCTGGTCTCAAGTTATCAACAGGCTTCTTCTGAGAGGGCCGATCCCCTGGCTTAAATTCTGATTTATCGGGAGCATGAAATTTACCTTCTGGCCGCAGATTATCCTCAGGCTTCTTCTGGGTAGGACGCTCCGCGGGGATGTACTTCGATCTTTTCGGAGTATAAAATTCACCCTCTGGCCTAAGGTTATCAGAGGGTTTAACCTGTTCAGGTCTGGAAACAAATTGATATTCTTCTCTGGATTCAAATATCATTTCCCCTTCTGATCGTAAATTATCTTTCCGAATTATTCTCTCCGTTTTTTCGGCTGGTTTATATGGGGTCTTCTCAGGCACAGTGAAGGCGCCCTCTGGTCTTAAGTTGTCTTCCGGTTTCTTCTGAGTTGGCCGCTCCGCGGATTTGAATTCCGGTCGCTCAGGCGCATAAAATTCGCCTTCTGGTTTCAAATTGTCTTCTGGTCTCTTCTGAAGTGGCCGTTCTGCTGGCTGGAAACCAGACTTTTCCGGTGTATAAAATTTACCTTCTGGTTTCAAGTTATCTACCGGCTTTTTCTGACTGGGACGTTCCGCCGGTTTGAATTCTGGCTTGTCAGGAACATAGAATTCACCTTCAGGTTTCAAATTATCTTCGTGTCTTATTTGTAATGATTTCTCCCCTGGATGGAATTTCGGCTTTTCTGGCGAGTAAAATTCTCCTTCCGGCTTAAGGTTATCAGTAGGTTTCACTTGGTCCGGTCTAATAACAAATTGATATTCCTCTCTAGTCTCAAATGTCATTTCTCCTTCTGAGCGCAAATTATCTTTCCGTATTATTCGCTCCGTCTTTTCAGCTGGCTTATAGGCTATCTTTTCGGGCACTGTAAATTCTCCCTCAGGTCTCAAGTTATCTTCCGGTCTCTTCTGATGAGGTCTTTCTGCGGGCTGATATTCAGGCTTTTCTGGTGTATAAAATTGTCCCTCTGGCCTCAAGTTGTCTTCTGGCTTCTTCTGACTAGGTCGTTCCGCGGGCCTAAATTCTGCTTTTTTAGGGGTATAGAATTCACCTTCTGACTTCAAATTGTCTTCATGCCTAACTTGTACAGGTTTCTCAGCCGGTTGGTATTTTGGTTTTTCTGGAGCATAAAACTCTCCCTCCGGCTTAAGGTTATCAGTAGGTTTGACTTGGTCCGGTCTGGTAACAAACTGATATTCCTCTCTAGTCTCAAATGTCATTTCACCCTCTGAACGCAAATTATCTTTCCGTATTATTATCTCCATCTTTTCAGCTGGCTTATATGCTATCTTTTCTGGCACAGAAAGTTCCCCCTCAGGTCTCAAGTTATCCTCCGGTTTCTTCTGATGTGGTCTCTCTGCTGGCTGATATTTAGGTTTTTCTGGAGAATAAAATTCTCCTTCTGGCTTCAAGTTGTCTTCTGGCTTCTTTTGACTTGGCCTTTCAGCGGGCCTAAATTCCGGTTTCTCGGGTGTATAGAACGCACCCTCTGGCTTCAAATTGTCCTCATGCCTAACTTGCAAAGGTTTCTCACCTCGTTGGTATTTTTGTTTCTCTGGAGCATAAAATTCTCCCTCCGGCTTAAGGTTATCAAGGGGTTTCACTTGCTCTGGTCTGATCACAAACTGATATTCCTGTTTAGTCTCAAATGTCATTTTTCCTTCAGAACGCAAGTTATCCTTCCGTATAATTCGCTCAGTTTTTTCAGCTGGCTTATATGGAATCTTTTCTGGAACAGCGAATTCACCCTCCGGTCTCAAGTTATCCTCAGGTTTCCTCTGAAGTGGCCTCTCTGCGGGCTGATACCCGGGTTTTTCTGGCGTATACAATTCACCCTCCGGTTTCAAATTGTCTTCCGGTTTGACTTGCGCTGGGCGTTCTGCTGGCTGGAATCCGGGCTTTTCGAGCTTATAAAATTCACCCTCTGGCCTCAAGTTGTCTTCTGGCTTCTTTTGTCTGGGACGTTCTGCCGGTCTGAATTCGGGTTTCTCAGGAGTATAAAATTCACCTTCTGGTTTCAAATTATCCTGCGGTTTCTTTTGAGTTGGGCGCTCTGCTGCTTGATAGCCAGGCTTGTCTGGTATGTAGAATTCCCCCTCCGGCCTCAAGTTGTCTTCTGGTTTCTTCTGAGTGGGACGTTCAGCGGGGACATATTCCGATTTCTGTGGAGTATAAAACACACCCTCTGACTTCAAGTTGTCTTCAGGCTTCCTCTGAATAGGGCGTTCGGCCGGCCTAAATCCTTGCTTCTCAGGTGTGTAAAAGTCACCTTCTGGCCTTAAGTTATCTTCCGGCTTTTTCTGTACAGG